CTTCGGCTCTCCTGGACGTGACTGGGTACGCTAGAGCAGCGTACTGTGCTGAAAATGGTTAAAAAGTCGCAGACCTGGGATTGTGCTGCCCACGGCAGCCTTGGCTCCTATGAGAGAGAACCCAGGGAGCATCAGCAGCAGGCAACAACTGCCACATCAGCGAAGCTGGCTGGGCTCGGCTGCACAAAGCCAGCTGGTACCAAGACTCAAGCGCTCACTCGGGATAATGGCATCTACAGGGTAGTGGCGTGTACCCAGAGTCCGGAAAGTTCTCGTTTGTACTGAGCAGGACAGACTTTCTCAGCTACCACCATTAGCGCTAAGCAGAAGTCTTCTCCTAAGCTGGATTCTGGTATCCTCCTGTATTTTAAGTCACAGCCAGGCTCCCAGTGCCAGCTTTAGCAAGCCTCTACCCTCTAGCATAAAAACTAGCACCAGCTTGCTGCCCAGAGCTCTGGCCATAGGGAATTGCATTCATCTGTTCCTACCTGCTTTCACAATCACCCGCCTCTGGTCCCGCCATTCCCTAGAAGACCACACATCGTCCATCTCATGAACACCACACTCCTGTTGAAGGATGTACTCACCTATGCACATTTTCAAAACTCCTGAGAAACCAGGTCAGCAAAATGGCTCAGCAGGTGAAAGCGCTTGCCGGCAACAAGGTTCGTGACCTTGGTTTCAATCCCCAGCACCCACAGGGTGGAAGAAGAGACCGGACTCCTAAAAGTTGTCCTCTGATGTTCACATGTGTACAGTGGCAAGTGCGTGCACACACATACATAAAATATAATACTTTTTAATTCCTAAGAAAGTTACTAAAAATACTGGAATCCATGAATGAGTTCATCAAGGTCATGCAAGATCAACATCCAAAACAATGTTATTTGTTTATACTTTCTTTAAATTTTTATTTATTTTTAATTGTGTGTCTCTGTGTCTGTATGTGCACATGAGTAAAGTCACCGTGAAGGTCAAAGGAAGGAGTCAGGTCCCCCAGAGGTAGTGTTATAGGCAACTGTGAACCATGTGGGTATTAGGAACCAAATTCTTATTCTCTACAAGCACACAACAAGGTCTTAACTGCTGAGTCTTCTCTCCAGCCCCTTCTACCTGCTTTTCATGAGCAAACTAAAAATAAAATGGAGAAGAAATCCGTTACAGCAGCATCCAAAGGAATAAAATTCTAGAAATAAATTCAACAAAAGAAGCACAGACATTATGCCCTGAAAATAGAAGATGCTGTTGAAAGACGTGTAAGAGCACCTCAATAAATGGCAGAACATCCGTGCTCATGGACTGGAAGGCTTACTTTTTAAAATTGAGCCTACTCCCCTTGTTGACCTATACATCTGACTCAGTGCTGATCTTAGCTGACTTCTTTGTGAACATTGACGAGTTAACCAATTCTAGAACACATATGGAGTGGCAAGAGATCCATAATCGTCGAGACAACTCCAAATAAAAAGCAGTTAAAGACACATGGACACTCTCTAGTTTCAAACACACTAGCAGTCAAGATGTGGGGCTTAAAGACAGACACAGGTCAACAGCACAGAACTGAGAATCCCTGAACACATGTGCTCATCTATAGTCAATCGGCTGGGATGAGAGTGCTAAGACTATTGGATGCCTTTTCAAAGAGTCATGCTGGTGGTAGGGATGCAGAATGCCCGAAATGAGAAGTCCTTTCTTCCCACACTGTTTGCCGAGCAAGGAGAATCCCAATCTATAGTAATAAGATGTACAATGACTTAACCCTGCATTTAAGAAGCAAATAAAGCCGGGCGGTGGTGGCGCACGCCTTTAATCCCAGCACTCGGGAGGCAGAGGCAGGCGGATCTCTGTGAGTTCGAGACCAGCCTGGTCTACAAGAGCTAGTTCCAGGACAGGCACAAAAGCTACAGAGAAACCCTGTCTCGAAAAACCAAAAAAAAAAAAAAAAAGAAGCAAATAAACCTAAGTGATAAAACCCAAATACCAAAACAGTCTGGTGCTACCAACCCTCATTAGACAAAAGCAAAATAAACTAAGATGTCTTGAAACTGGAGACTCTAGTGGGGAGGCAGAGTCCTCTTCCTTTTTCTGTCATAGGAGTTAGGGACATTAGTATGAAAGATGCCAGCACTCAAAACACCCATGTGATGCTCAAACTCAAAAACCAGTGATTGTCCTCTCCCAAATTCTCCTCTGATGCCTTTGATTTTTCTAGAAACCAGATACGGTCATTTCCTTCATCCTACTTTTAGACCAAGAAGCCAGAGAGGGTAAGGAGGGCGCTGCCTGGCTGAACGAGGCATGTGTCTTCAGCCTGGAGAAGAACACTGCTTTCCTGCAGCAAATTCATGCTTCCTCCCTTGGTAGTTCATCATCTCAAGCTCCAAAAGGTCAATTCCCAAATGATTCCAAAGGGTCTTTTGACAAAAAGTGACAAACTCCAGGGGCCAAGGGGTCTTCTTCAGGGAGCTGCTGGCACACCATGCTGATATTCTCGACGACTGTTCAGTTTTATCCAAGGCATTGCCCAGCAACCAGCTACATTGCAAAGACAATGTCTGCAAGTTTCCTTAGGGGTAAAATGAATCAAACACTACCGTACATCTTTAGTGGGACTTTGTAGAGAGTAGATGGAAAGTAACTAGAAAGCTGTACCATACAATAGGAGTACAGCCCATCATACAAAGCAAGAGGATACAGTTCAACTCCAGATAGACATTAGGAGAAAGCTGGGGGGAAAATCTAACATAGACTGGGTCATAGATGGTAGGAAAGACCCTTTGTTCACTTTCTTGAGAGTAATAATAGCGTCACAGTGATCTAACGTTTCCAGGATTGTGCTGATCTATGGACATACATGGATAAAATCATATGATGTCAAGATTTACTTTTAAAAACTGAGAAAAGGGGCTGGAGAGATGGGTCAGAGGTTAAGAGCACTGATAGTTCTTCCAGAGGTCCTAAATTCAATTCCCAGCAACCACATGGTGGCTCACAACCATCAGTAATGAAATCTGGTGCCCTCTTCTGGCCTGCAGGCATACATGCAGAGAGAACACACTGTATAAAAAATAAATAAATAAATCTTTAAAAAAAAACTGAGAAAAGACAAAAGGGACATAATGTAGCTGGGACAAAATGTTGGAACTAATGAGAAGAGCATAATTAGTCGTAATTCTCTCAAGGGCATATCCGAACTCCTTCGGCATGAAAGAACTTAAATAAGCAATGTAGAATTTTCTAGACATCCGTCAACTTTCTGAGGATCACATCCACAGCCCAGAAAATCCACTTCCCTCACAAAGCTCTTTCCAACCAGTCATCCAGGGGTCAGAGGGTTAGGAAAGACTCCAGGAGAGGCTCCGAGCTGGGAAGAAGAGAAATAAATGGAAGAATCCTAGAAGAACATTCAGGGAAGCTTCAAGCTGTCAGGCTCTCGTGTGGGCCTCGTCCTTAGAGCTGTATTTTATCCTCTGTGTTGCCACTGAATGTATAAGTGATTTTATTCTTGAACACAAAGGTTACAGGGACTAAAAAAATACAAACATAGGCCACTGAGACCCAGTTCCCTTAGGGACAGCCAGGAGTCCATCAGGGACTCCGGGGCTTCACACATTTTGTCATGGGTTTATCAGATGTCCCAAGGACTAAAGGGTAGGATAGTGGAAAAGTAAAGACTAGAAAGAAGTAGAAGTTAAAACTCTCCGAGGGAAGATCAGTCCAGTGAATCAAGCTCTTATGTGTGAAGAGACCCAGGAAATGGAGGCACCCTGGCCAATTAAGTACACAAGTCACCATGCCTTACTGATTCTCCCAAGGTGACAAATGGGCTTACCCACAGAATGTGGTGATGTAAGGGAGGGCTCCAGCTAAGAGATGGAGGCTCAAGTCCTCAACACTAAACCAGAACTTCTGAACTTCAACACTTGGATGTGTTTGGGGGGGGGGCGGCGGGGGGAGTATCCACTGAGCATCTCTTCAACACCAAGGATTTGGGAGATTAAAATCTGGGCGTGTCTGGCATGGTGCGTCTCTGTTGGAACCTGTGGTTTCCTAACCACTTTAGGTAACTCAGTTCCCCTCCAGGCAGCTGCACCCCTCCACCATGCATTCCGTTTTGTTGTGATTGGTTGGTTGGTGGTTAGTTGGTTGGGAGGTTCTTAGTATTCTTTGTCGCAGCAGGACAGGGAGGGATGGGGAGAAAGGAATGTTTCGTTCCATTATTTCTGTCGGGGCTGAATAGAGTCACTTTAGCCTGGTCACTACACCCTAGGGCTCCAAGACTTGGGGAAGGGGGAGAACGACGACACCAGTAGGGAATTCGGGTAGGACAGAGGTACCAAAAATAGATCTGCGTGTTTGTGGTGCGGGATTTTTCCTACTGCTCAGTCTTTCCTAAATAACAGTGGTAGAGGTTCCCAAGAAGACTTGGGAATGAAAATTTGGCGCGGGGACCTTTCTCCTACTCTGTTCCCGAAGATCAGGCTCTCTCGTTAGAGTCTTTCTGGTAGGCTGGGTAGAGAATCCAGTTGCAAGCTGTGCGCTCTACAGTTGCTGGGCACTAGGTCCCACGATGCCCAAAACCAAAGTAACAGTCAAACTTTAGTATCTTCCCTGCCCCCTCCCCACCACAAGCTCCGTATCTCAAAACCAGAACTGTGGCCACTGGCCCAGCTTCCAGATGCCCCTTCCCCACTCTGTACCCTCCAAGGCTTCCAGTGTGCACCCCAAGGCTCCACGCTCTGTCCGGGAGCGCCCAGGGTTCCCAGGAGCCAAGCATCCAGCTCCTGGGGTAAATCGACTGCCTCCCGGGACCCTCCTAAGGTGGGACTGGGCGAGGCTGCTGATATGGGGTGGGGGTAGGGGGACCTGTCAGCCCGCACGTCCTCCTGCATTCCTGGCGGGAGCTGGCCCAAGGGAGGAGGAAGAGAGGGGATGGAGCCTGCGTGCTCGCCTTAGCCTGGGAACAGCGACAGAAAGAGGGTGAAAGTTAGCTCTCTTACTTGGCAGCAGGGCTCTGTGGTGGTCAGGCTGGGACTGGGCTTTCTGTTGTAGCCCCTCTCTACGCCGATCGCCCGAGGACCCCTCCGAGAAGTAAGGCGAAGTGTGGGCAGGAGCGGGCTACAGTTCTGGGCAGGATTTCGCCCGCCCGGAGCTTTTAAAGAGAAACTCTCCGCAAACCCCTCCCCCGACCCCAGCTCGCCCCGAAGGCGGCCTCCAATTTAGCCCGGCCTCCAGCCTTTGTTGAACTTCCTAGGCTTATCCCGGGAAGGAGGGGTTGTGGCTGTGGGAATTGGGGGGTAGGACAGCGCGGGTTGGAGCTGGCTGCTCTGGGGACCGCGCGTTCCAGAAAGCGCACTTTTCTCCTGAAGATTCCGCATCCTCTAGCATCTCAGCTCCGCACTCAATTCCTCCAGGGTACGGTTTACCAGGTTTAAGGCCGGCGTTGAATCCAGCCCCTTAACTGAAAACTGAAAGTTGAAATCAGAAGCTCTCATTCATCTCACTCTGGTTTCGCGTCCCTTCTCTGGTAGACGATTCTGAACAGCAAACCCTAACATCCGTGCGCTGAGGAAAGACAGAAAAATTGAGCGGGAAAAGAAGCCAGTTGCTGGAATCTGGCTGAAGTTTAAAACTTTATCACAACTGATCAAATTGAAATTGCCAACGGGAATAGTGCTGGGCTTCCTAAAGGTTTCTCAAGCAAGCAAGAGGTTAAAGATAAACTAAAGGTAAATCAAGCTACTCTAGAGCCCTGTATCTAAATACCGTCCTTCACAAACCACCTAGCAGTTCTGTTGACACACGGAAATTCTTTCAAGGTAAGGACTGTACTCAAACCAACTCATAGAGTTTCAATTTGTCAACTAAACGCTAAATTTTCCTTAGTTTCTAAATCTTGTAAATGGCATCCTTTGAGAGCAATGCAGTTTAGAGAGCCCCAGGATCATCTATGGGGCCATGGTGAAGGTGCCTAAAGAACACACCTAAAGTGTGTGTGTGTGTTGGAGGCCAGAGGTTAACATTTGGAGTCTTACTAAATCTCCATATGTTTTCTTTTTTTAAAAAATAAAGTTCATTTTCTTTTTCTCTCTTCAACCACTCACATGTTACCCCCACTTATAATGTATCAAATTTATGTTTTTTCTTTAATCATTTCACAGATGTACATATTTATTCCCAAATATATAAATAGAATCTGAAAAAAAATCAAGTTCTTTGAGAAGTTCATGCACACATACAATGTACTTCCATTGCATTGTCTCCCTGCTCTTCTCCCTAACTCCTCCCAGATCCATCCCCCATCTCCCCAGCTTCATTTTCTCTTTGACAAATAAAATTTAACCCAATGAGCTCAGTTGATGCTGCCCATATATGCATGGGCATGGGGTGACCCCACTGGAGCATGGCTGACCTACCCCCCCCCCAAAAATTGACCCTCCCTTCCTGGAAGCCACCAACTCTCCCAATAGGTCCTCAGCTAGGGTTAGGGCTTAATGGAGACTACCTTGTTCTTATGTAGGTCTCGTGCAAGCTAACACAGCTGCTGCAGTGGTCCTGTAGTGTCCTGAAGAAGACCTTGCTCCACCCAGCCCTTCCTGCCCTCTGACTCATAACCTTTCCACCCTCTCTTTTTAGATGTTCCCTGAGCTTTGAAGAGGAGGGTGTGAGATAGATATCCCACGTAAGACTGAGCACTCCACAGATCTTATTCTCTGCACTCTGACCAATTGTGAGTTTCTGGGTTAACCACCACCCAGCCCACAAAGAAGGTTCTCTTATGAGGCCAAAGAGTTATACTAATCTATGAGTCCTCCAGCAAAATGATAGTAGTAGGTTCACCCCTGGGGCCTATGAGCTCCCCAATTCTGGGTTCTTAGCAACATTTACAGTACCAGATATGAGTTTTCTACTGCGGAATGGGCCATAGATCCAATCAAAAGCAGTTGGTTTCCCCAGAACATTTGTGCCACTTTACCCACACCCATAGACATATCTTACCAGACCTTGCCATTGTAGCTTTCAGGGTTCACAGCTGGATAGGACTGTTGTTGACTTTTCTCCCTGGGTAGCCCGCATAGACACCAGGCCATCAGGGAGGAAACTTCATAGTCAGTACCAGCTTGACTCTTACGGGTCTCCTGACTAAAGTGTGTGGTGTCTTCAGCAACAAGGCCTTGTCACTTCACTGGGGTTCATATGAGAGTCATTTCCTGGGGAGATAAGACACGCACAATACTTGGTGCCCAAACAGTCCCCAACAGAACCAAGGATAAGTTGAAGAGTTGATGTACCACCCCTTCAGTGGTTGCTAGGACACCAGCTGAAGTGGTCCCACTGAGAGTGGAGCATCCCAGGAGTCAGGGCCGTCTTTCTCTGTGTGGCTGAATGACTGGCTGCAACTCAGGCCAAGAGGGTATACCCGGGCAGGGTACAGTCAGGCAGGTCACAGCTAAACCAAACAGCTTGGACTGATCCAAGCTCATTGGAGTGAAGACATGTACAAGGCCCCAGGGAGATGTCTCAGGAAGAGGAAGCCTGACGACTGATACAAATGCTGGGCTCTCTTCCTGCTCTCTCAGACCTTGATAACACACTTTTTTTTGGTATTCCCTTAGTGTTCCAAGACCAGTTCACATTCACTTGGAACGGGCCCTTAGAATGCTGTTCCAAGGTTACTTTCACAGTCTCACTGTTTGTCATGGAATGACAGCCCAGGGCCTTGTTCTACTATCCTGCTTGACCTCTGTAAAATGGTTCCGTTTCATAGATGACGTGAGAACGCTAACTTCTGGGTGTTTTACGGATTTTAGAAAACATCTAATGTTTGGGGAGTAATTGACACTTTGCCTTCAAAGTTCAGTGTGTTGATGCTCTGTCTCCTCCACGGATCTCCTTCTCGGCCTGTCTCCCTGTTGCCAAAGCAGTAGGTGCTTGATGTAGTATTTAGAGAAAATAAAACAGATTTTTCAGGGAGCATCTAAGAGACATGCAGGTACACCTGAAGGAATCAAGATGGAGAATAGCCACACAAGATGCAAGGGCCTGCCGCCCTTGTAAAGTTCTCGAGAGCATGATGGCCCGATAAGCCACATGGAATACCGGACCGTGTTAAGACTTCTACAACAGCAGTGTCTGTAAATGTAAAAGAACTTCAGGTCTATTGGGATTCCTGGGAGGTTGGTATATTTCCGTACCCCACCTTATACCCATGTTGTCTGTCCTTTGTATAACTTGACCACGATGGGTTCTATGTGGGATCAGGACAGAAAGTGTCCAGAGATGTTTGAGCCAGCTAAGGTCCTTGTAAGACAGGCCAAATAGTCATGTGCCCCATTACTCCAGCAGGGACAACAGATCCGAAAATGACACATACATAGTTCAACATGGCCCGTAAGGGACTAGCAAACAGACTGTCTGGGGTCTACGCCTATCAGTGAGGGATGCAACTATGCCCTCACCTGTGAGGCCTCTCGCTAGCATTTCTAGGCAAGCAAGCAACAGGTAAAGCCACCAGCAAAGGACTCACCGACTGAGTGTTAAGTATGGGGACCCACAGTGTTACCAATGACTTGGATAAGCAATCATTTCACCAACACTGGTGTTCAGAACGGGGCTGAGGACAAAGAGCAATGGTTCCTCCACCTACCTTACAATCAGACTAGCACTGAGTTAACCGAAAAGAAAGATGTGTTATTAAAACGTCAACAAGGGAGCTGGAGAGGACTGAGCAGGTAAGAGTGCTTGCTGCTCTCCTGGGATCAGGGTTCGGTTCTCAGCACCCTCAGCTCATAAGCACCTGTAACCCCAGCTCTAGGGAATTCCTCTGACCTCCACTGGCACCTGCACACACATGTGCATAGCACATACAAACATACAAACACATACTTGATATTAAATAATAACAGAAAAAAGCCACTAAAGAGCTTAAGTAGAGGGGGTTCCCTGCATTAGTGGGAAGGGGCACTCTACAGGTTATAAGGTTGTTAGATAAAAATCCCAGCACCAGAAGTGAGTTACTTCTATACTTGGCCAGGGAGGCCCCTGAGGCCCCATAAACTATGACAGATATATCCACTCTTGTCAGCGGTGTTCCAGAACTAGACAGACAGACTCTATTGCTGAAGACACCATGCACTTTGTTTACAGAACACGGGAAAAGAGCTGGGATTGAGCTGGCTCTCACGGTGTCCCATGCAAGTATTACATGGTCTGCTGCAGGAAGGACGGTCAGTAACAGTCCTGCTCAGCCGTGAATCTTGTGTTGCAGTACCGAGACACCAGGCAAGCTGTCCCTGCTTGTACAGTAGTGGCATGACCATAATGGGAACAACCAGTAGCTTTTTGAACCAAATTTGAGACTCCACAGGAGGGAGTTCCCATCTGGTACCGAAAGCCCAGACAAAACCATGTGACTGGGGAGATCATAGACCTCCAGCGGGTGGCTGCTATTGATCACGCTGTTGCTGTCAGCTGCAATCCATCATGAAAAGAAACTTCCCTTTGCCGTGGATGGCATACTGCAGAGACTCATAGCCCCTGGGCGGGCTACTGTCTTGCATGTTACTTGATGTAGGAGGGTCCTGCCCACTGTGGGTACCGTTCCCTAGGCAGGTAGTGCTGAGCTGGTTAAGAAAGCTAGCCAGGCCTGCGCCTGCTAGTGAACCAGTTAACTGATCTCCATGGTTCCTGTTTTAAGTTCTTACTTGAGTTCCTGTCCTGGCTTCCCCAGTGATGGACTAAATAGCCCTGGCTTCCAATGCTTACTTTTGGTCAGGATATTCTATCAAAGTAACAGACAGGAAACTGTAACAGGTGGGGAGGCTCATGAGATTCAGGAAGTAAACAAACTTCACAAGTCTGGACTTGTGAAGGAGCCTCCCCCGCCCCCCAGGGTTCAAGAAACAGAAAAGAGGTGCTGAAGAGACTCTAGCAGCCCAGCCACTATGGAGAAGGAGAAAGAGATGGTACCCATGATGAGGCAACCTTCAGTTAGGTGGAAGTTCCAAAATGCTCATCATTTTCTAGAAGCATTCTTCGGGTGGAACCCTCCCAGGAGTTTCTCATAGCTGATTAAGTCCACCTAGAAAAATTTTACAGGCTTAGCATCATTTTTCAACACTTACCTGACAAACTAT